GTGTGTGTAAACCTGGAGTAAAGGGGTTTTAACCTTGGAGTAACGTGTGTGTAAACCTGGAGTAAAGGAGTTTTAGCTTTCGAGTAACGTGTGTTACTGGAATGCGTGTGTAAATCTGGAGAAAAGAGTGTTTTAACCTTGGAGTAAGGTGTGTGTAAAACTGGAGTAAAGGGTTTTTAACCTTGGAGCAAGGTGTGTATAAACCCAGAATAAAATGTTTTTTTTAACCTTGAAGTAAGGTGTGTGTAAACCTGGAGAAAAGAGTGTTTTAACCTTGGAGTAAGGTTTGTGTAAACCTGGACTAAAGAGGTTTTTAACCTTGGAGTAAGGAGTGCATAAACCCACAATAAAGTGGTTTTTTTAACCTTGGAGTAATGTATGGGTAAACCTGGAGTAAAGCATTTTTTTAACCTTGGAGTAAGGTATGTGTAAACCCAGAATAAAGTGTTTTTTTAACTTTGGAGTCACAATTTTGTAAATCTCGAGTAAGGGCCAGGTAGCCTGGGGAGGATCCTATGAGTAAYCCTGGAATAACCCTGGAGCAACACTGGCTTGACCTGCGAGCGAGCTGGAGTAAGAGTTAAGTAAGGCTGGGTAACATCTGAGTATCCCTGGAGCAAGCTCAGAGTAACTTCTGAGTAAACTCAGAATAACGTGTGGAGTAATGCACACCCTTTGAGTAACTTTGAGGTACCATTGGAGTATCCTGTGTGTTGGCGCTGGAGTAACATCAGAGTAACACTGGAGCACCTGTACCCATCCCCTTATGGACTGTGGAGTAAACCAAGAGTAACTCTGGAGTAACTCTGGAATGCGGTGCCCCACCCACCCCTAAAAAGGGGCGGAGCCTCTCCGGAGGTGTCCCCGCCCCCTCCAACCCGAGGGGGGCAGGGCGTGGGGTCCTATTGGTGCTTTGGGATTGTGGGCGGGGCTCAGTGGGGTGGGTGGGGCCATGACGTCATTGAGGTGGGAGGGAAATGCGGGGGCTGAAAGGGGCGGGGCTCCAAGCACGCCCCGCCCCCCAAAAGCCCACCCCGCCCTGAAAGTGGGCGTGTCCTCACCAAGCCCCGCCCCCGCTGCCCGGCGCTGCCCGCCCCTCGCGCTGACGTCACCCGGCGCTCGGCTCCGCCCCTTTCGGCGCGCGGCGCCCGCCCCTGGCGCTGACGTCACCCGGCTCCG